GTAATACACAGTTCAAGTGCTGCCTCCTTGTGAGAATAAGGTCCAGCTGGTGCCAGTGGCCAGTTTCCATGACACCTAATGGCCATCTTTAGTTTTGAAAAAGGAGTTTGTGATGCACAAGTCACTTCTAGTGCAGAATTCCAGTAGTCTCTGCCCATTTTCATTCATGTGGCTAACGTTATATTTTCCAAGACAAACTAGCCATGAATTTGAGTCTGACCCTACGCAAGCATTAAAATCACTAAGTATATAGATGCTGTCAGATTTAGAAATTGATTTCACTGCATTATCCAATTCCTCATAAAAAGAGTCCTTTGCATCTTCTGCTGACGTTAGAGTGGGTGCACATGCAGTAACAAGGGTAATAAAACCGCTTGAGGTAGACAATCGTAGGGATAATATTCTGTCACTTCCTCCAGTTGGACTCTCAACTGATCCTAACAATGAATTCTTTACTGCTAATCCCGGTAACTTAGTCAAATGTGACCACGACCTGACCCTGTCACTATTACACTACACTGGATTTAATCCATGGTATCGAATCGATTGTACATGATAAAACGGAACGTATGCCTAGATTATGTGTCCACATGGTTATCCTTGTGACTGATGATAAGAAGGATGATGATGACGGATATGATGATGATCATGATAATGTTGATGACTATGACCGTACTTACCACTTTAGTAGGGGGAAGGAGGGGTGGGGGGGGGGGGTGGTGGTGTAGACAAGAAGGGTCGTTAGCCCGAGGTTTTAGCACCTGACTCTCCTGCATGAGAGCAAGACGCTTAACCACTCTGCCAGCGGCTCCTAATGTACTGGTAATCCTGGAGAAAAAGGATACCATGTGTATGGAAGGCCGTTCGTGTATCAAGACATGTGTGGAAGACATGAGCCGACGACCACTAATATAAAGACCTAATTATATACAGTCGAGTCCACTTAAGTCGAACTCGGATAAGTCGAATTTCGGTTAAGTCGACATGACCAGCTTAGTCCCGGCAATTTTCTCTATTGTGTGTAATGTCTCGATAAGTAGAAATCCTGATAAGTGCAAGCATTTTCTTAGGTTCCTGCGACTGCTACTTATCCAAACTCGACTGTATTACGTGTTTGTGAGTCCGCCAACCAGACTATCTCTATATCTGAGCAGACAATAATTGAGAAATTTACTATATTAGACACGTGTGATTTCTAGGGTGTCTATGCCTGGAGCCACTTTAGTGGTAATAAGCCTAAAACGTATTGGATTCAAAAGCCACTAAAGTGGTGATATTTCCGCAAAGAGTTGAGCCTTTGTTTGTGTGTGTGTGCGTGTGTGTGTGTTTTAGTTTTGTGTGCAAATGGGATGTGAATATTGAGAAGAATGTTGCTACTACATTGGACAGCCAAAATAACCAACATTGAATGCCAGGAAATGGCTAATTAAAGTAGGACATTATATACAACAATGAGAAGGAGCCAAAGTTCATTGGTCATGTGATGAGAAGAGGAACACTGGATAATATTGTGACGACTTGAAAGATCTTTGGTAGATGACGCAGGGGCAGACCAAGAGAAACGATGATGGATGGCGTAAGACAGAGGCATGGGGGTAAATCATCAATTGAATGGATCCAGAACATCAAAGGCTGAGATTTGTGGAGATGCATGAACACCCACGCCAGTTGGCTAAAAACTTGATGATAATGATGATGATTGTTTTTTATTATTTATCTTTCAGGAAGGGACATCGGCAAACGGAACAATTTCAATGAAACGAATACTCGATGAGACCGGGCAAAAGAGTGTGCGGGAATTATCTGACTTTGACAGTGAGTATATTTGGAAATAATCATTGTCGTCATCATTATCATCAGCATCATTATCAGGATCATCAGCATCATCATCATAGTCTTCACCATCGTCATCACCATTATCATTATCATCATCGCCATCATCAGCATATACCCAAGCCATACGCACAGTTTTAGATGTTTTGCTATTTCAGAATCACTAAATACAACGACTGGGTCTGTGTTCTTGCTTACCCCATTTATACAGCCAGTACATTTTCTATAAATCTCTTTGCCTTCCTTTTGCCCCTTTTTCAATCAATCTCGCCAGACACACCTAAACTCTGGAGTCAGTTCCTTCTTACAAAAGGTATTTTCTTCTGCTTAGCAAACTTTCTCTTGTCAGTTTACGGTTTTCATCTATCTCGAGAATAAATGTCTTGTTCGTTGCACCACCAGTCTATGATATTCGTTGTATTCATCTCGAAAGCACATTTCCTAAGTGAGTTTTAGCTTCTTGATTATCGCCAAAGTGTCATGTGCAAAGTTGAGTTAGGCTGAAGCCCGGAATTTCCGTAAGCGCTCTGTCCTCCTCTTCAGTAGACATTGAAGACTTCCATTTCCGATTTTGCCAGTAGTAGTTTGATCATATTTGAGTCCTGCTGTTCCCCTGGGTGTAAATTGTTGACCAAATCCCCTAGTCACTCCCATCTGTCCAATTCTCTCCAGACCATAATAATCGAGTCATGATTCTGGATTGCTCACTTGCTCCCAAAGGATATTGACCACATCTAGCTAGTCATACATAATTTCCCCACCCATTAGAGCAGAATCAGTCAGTATGTCCGCCTATTCATTTCTAAACACTCTTGCATAACCCGGATAAAATATCAAAAGAACGCTAATTACTCGGGTCCCTTGAAGAAATGTCTGCCACGCTACATGGAGCATGTTAGTCTGCACTTTTCCCAGCAAACTTTGTGAGCCGGTTGCAGTCACGACATATGAGTACAGCTGTTGTCTTTGGCTTCACCTTTATTGCCAAACTAAATGATGTAGTATTAAAAGTTAGACGTTGTTGCACTGTCGTCCATTCGCTTTCGCAATAAACAACTACGCACTGCTTCACTCAAATAGCAAAACAAATTTTTGTATGAAAAACTTCAACAAGTTTTTTTTCCCTTTTGACTGCAACTTACTTGTTTATGGCTGAGTATGTTTTTGATTTTTTTAAAGCCGCGTTACTATGCGATTCTTGTTTTAATTTCTGCAACGCATCTTTTAAAAGACACTCCAGAACTGAACTTGCGTAAATATTTTGCTATTTATATGGATTTCACATCGCTGTACTTTTGTGTGTGTATTGGCCATACGTTCTTTCATCACACAGTTCAACTATTTCAAAATTTTCTGCATCATCGTGAGTTTTGAAACCGCCTATTGTGTTATTCCCCGAGGCTGTAATTTATCCATAAATTAAGCAAAAATTGATAACACTGTATTTTACCAAAGCTGATGACAGTCATGGGGTTGAATACCTCAACTCATAGAGACCTCTAGCTGAAAAATAAAACCACAGATTTACTAGGAGAAACTGAACGAACGAACTAACTTTATATATATATTTTTTATTTTTTTTTAAATTAGAAAATACAACCACATTGTTTCTGTATAGTACTTAAATAATCTAAAAAAAAAAAAAAAAGGAAAACAAAAAGCCACCAGGAAGCGAAAAACTCCCTTATAAGCCTAGCTTTCACAATTGTAGTCAGCTACTTTATTAACATGCCATCATGACATCTGACTGAGGATTCAAGTCCGAAAAGAGCCAACAATTTTTTCATTCAAACATGACCTTTGCTACAAGGTTAGTTGCGTATCCTTTACAGGACGTTGCGGAACCAAACCCAGCATGTTTTGGCTATTGTGGTTTTCCTAGGCAATTTTTTTTATACGTTTAGAAGTTTGCCATGCTACTCAACATTCAGCTCTCGGTACCACTGTCGAAATCATCGCTAGACAAACCGGCCGCAGCTGGGATCCAAAACGACACGCTGACATTGTCACGCGCCTTCGCAACGCTTAAGCCACAGACGCTGACGGCTCCCAGGTAGACTCAGTTTTAAATGAGCACCAGTTGAAGTCTTGGGAAGTAAAGGCGGCTGGCGTGATGTTCACGGGCGTATAAAGGCAGCTTCAGTTTACCTCTACAGGGAGCCGTTGTGATGTAGCGGCTAGACGCTCATCCACTAAATGGAAGGTCTTGGGTTCGCGTCCTTTTGTTTTTAAAACATTACTTTGGCTCCTAAGTAACCTAGCCGTACCTGGGTATCAGGAAAAGTCATGGGAAGTAAAGGCGAACGTTGTAATGTTAACCTTATCAGCCACCCAGTGCTTAATGGTCTATAGAATATAGGTCTAGCCATATATGCCCAATACACCTGAAGGCGTGGACAAGGCTCCTTTACTTAACTGTAATTCACACTGGACTACAAGTTACTTGTAAACGTCGATGGCGAGATGTACTTGTGTTGCAATGATCAAAGGGGTTCTAGAATTTGCTCCTGTTAGACCCACATCCTTTAGGTAAACAGTCCTACCAGCGGCAATCCTGAAGGCGACAACGCAAGAACACAATGAGTGGGAATCGATGACATGAATTAGTCTTACTCTTAGTCCTAGTCGCGGTTTCAGCGTCACTACAAGCGAGTATCCCCATACTTGCTCCGTTAGCTAGTTAGTTAGGTCAGGAATTAACATCACAGCACTCGGGGCATTCCCATGTGTGCTCCGTCCTCATCGACAGCGCAAAGTTCCAATACTGATGGTACCGGTCACAATCTGGTTATAGGTCCGTCTCGCCTTTCCTCTGAGTGTAGCGAGTAGGTCAAACACTCTGGTTACACCCAGGTGCCTCATTCTCTTCAGGCTATAATAATCTTGTTTCTCTACTGATTCCGTTACTTGTTCCCAAAAAGCCTTGACAACATCTGCCCTGTCTTGGTCCGTTCCTGTACCAGTGAAAATCAAACGAAATGTCCCTCACTGTCGCATTTGAAAAACTGGGAAACAAACAACTAGTCCCGGAACAATCCAGAAATATGTGTACGCAGTAAATGCGTATTTCAGTTACCAGAGGCGCCAAGGCCAACAATCGACACCAGAAATTAAGTTTGTTGTTGATGGAAGTAGTCGGGCACCATAAGTTAGTTACTATGCACACGTAGAATTATTTCTTAAGATATTTCACCAACTCAGTACCGGCCGTATTGAATACCACAACACAATCGCTGCATAAATGAAAAGCATTCCACAGGAAGAACACACCTGACAATGCTGCACCAAGCACAAAACTCAGTAGTACTCAGGAGGCGAATTGACATGCATTGTTTTAGCTAAACATATTTACAAAACTAGAAACTATAATACCAGTAAAAAGTAATGCACACTGTGACTGGTTTATCAGGGCAGTCAAAGAAAAACCTCCACAATTTCATGATTTTAGACGTCGGTCAAGGTTGTTTAGTCAGAGGCGTATACACAAATTAGTTTTGAGTTATTTTGTCAAAAAACTAGCTTACAAAACATGACATAGACATCAATTTCAAAATGAATTTGAGATGCAAATTCATAAACGTGCAGAAGGTTACCGTTTTACTGTACCAGCACTTCCTCGGGAAATTTAAAATGGGTCATCTACATTGTAATATCAATGACCCAGAGGAACGAACATGATTGGTGCTTGGTCTGGATAGAGCATCATTTAACCTTTGGGTTGGGCAGGATACAGAGTACACTTATGTCAAACAAGGAAGGAAAAAGACTGTTGACGACTTTGATTTAGATGTCATTAGACGTGAGGTCTTAAAAATGCATATGACAACGGCATGACCTGGAGACAATATCAAAAGGATGCTAACTGTCTGGCAGCTCTAATGTGATGCTTGTCACCTTACACAAACCAGGCCTGTATCCACCTTTCTCAACATAAGCTGTGAGTCGGTTACAATTACGGCATGCGTGTACAGCTGACTCTCAAGCCAGCGGAAGGCACGAGTGACTGCCTCCACCTCCATTCTAAAACTAGAGGTTGTGATATCATATGCCAGGATTTGTTGCACTAAGGACGTGCATTAGCCTTTTCTACGAACCCGTATGCACTTCGCCTACCTCTCAACTCAGAGCCATTTGTATAGATAATCACATCACCTTCTGGTTCTTTTGTCACTGAACGAATTAACATAGTTGTCTAAACCATACTATTCTGTAAATGTTTGCTTATAAACTGTGATACAAACATTTGTGATTTGTGAACCCGTTTCCTACATACAGAATCGCCTCCGTGTGGTCACTATTTTGTCTCTGATGATAAAGATGAGCTTAGACGTCGAATAAACGGCGACAACTCTACAGACTATTTTGATGATGAATCACATCAGGACAAGATACTAGGTGGTGGTTTTGCCTATTATGGGGAATTCCCCTGGATGGCAAATATAATATATGATAACTCACATTTATGTGGAGGGGGTATTATCAGTGAGTTCTGGGTTATCACCGCTGCTCATTGTATCGAGTAAGTAGATTTTAGTAGCATTTTGTTAAAAGTAACACTTTAAGAGCACTTATATACCAGTTGACACTGTTAGTAAGACAAAACATAAAAATTAGTAACCATGGAAATAAGGTGTCTGAGAAAGACCTGTAGGAGTGGCCAGAAGGAATAAAATCAAGAATAAGGTCATACGAGATAAAGGCGACACAGAACCAATTCTAAATTACAAATAAAGACAGCAAATCAAATGGTTTACCCACTTGGAAAGAATGCCTTCTGATGATATACCATACAAGACATACATAAAAAGAGGAGAGGGACATAGACTAAAATTAACACCAAGATTACGAAGGGTATGCGTGTCTGTGTGAGTTTGTGTGTGTGTGTCGCACTGTGCGTCTGCGAGTGTGTATGTGGGTATGTGTGTGTCTCTGTGTGATTCTGTATATGGTCTCTGTGTGTGGTTGAGTGTGTGAGTGACTTAGAGTAGATGTATATGTGTCTATGAAGGTGTGTCTGTGTGTAGCTGCGTGTACGTACTGTCAGTGTGTGTATGTGTATGTGTTTGTTTGGTGTGTGAATATGTCTGCGTATGTGTGCATGGTATTCTTGTATGTGGTGCGGCGCGTTTGTCTTTGTGTGTGTGTGTTTATTTGTGTGTGTCAGTAAGTGCGTGTCGATGTCTGTGTGGGTGTCTCAACGTAAATGTATCTGTCTGTTTGGCAGAGTGTGTGTCTGTGAGTGTTTGTCTGTGTGACTGTGTGTATGTCTGTTTGGTGTGTGTGTGTGTGTGTGTGAGTGTCTGTCTGTGTGTGTGTGTATGTGTATGCAGGGTGGGGCTTCAAATGCCGAAAAATTGCATCTCCTATGGGGAAGACTAGGATAATCGTTCTATGCTCCAGAAGCGTCGTTTATTGTCCCATTACGCGATTTGATTTCGCACGCACGCACGCACGCACGCACATACATACATACCTACATACCTACATACATACATACATACCTACATACATACATCCATCATCCATCCATCCATCCATCCATCCATCCATCTATCCATCCATCCATCCATCCATCCATCCATCCATCCATCCATCCATCCATCCATCCATCCATCCATCCATCCATCCATCCATCCATCCATGCATGCATGCATACATGCATACAGACAGACAGGCAGACAGGCAGACAGGCAGACAGGCAGACAGGCAGACAGGCAGGCAGACAGGCAGACAGGCAGACAGGCAGGCAGACAGACAGGCAGGCAGACATACAGGCAGACAGACAGACAGACAGACAGACAGACAGACAGACAGACAGACAGACAGACAGACAGACAGACAGACAGACAGACAGACAGACAGACAGACAGACAGACAGACAGACAGACAGACAGACAGACAGACAGATATACAAGCCACTCTCAATCGGACGCTGCCGTTGTCCTCAGATATGCTTCAACATAGAATTACCAGTTATTGGACTTAGGATTACCAGGTATTCTTAACCCTGTTACCTCGTGTTGCCAAGCCAACTCACCGTATCTTTCGTGTCCTCCTTTCCCATGCTAACCTCGTACCTTGCAACGTAGGGACTTCGCTCATTCTAATAACCAATCAGAATCCATATCCTCTTGCTATATTTAGTATCATTCCGTCCTTTTTAGGAGTACTGTTTAGGCAATACAGATATTAAAATTGGAACGATACAGAGAAGATTAGCATGGCCCCTGCGTAAGTATGACACGCAAATTCGTCCTTTTTAGGATGACTTTTTTCATTATTTGAAGCTTCACTCTGGGTCTTGCCAGGGGCCGCAATATAGCCTGGCCACAAATATGTCCTTCAGGCTGAACGTGGTGTCTGAGACCTCTCCACGGTGATCCTCACCCACATTGTGTCATCTGGTGTTTATAGTAGGGCTGTACCATATATTCGCTTCGTATTGGCTTCGGGGCCGAAAAGTGGACCTATTGACTATTCGGTATTCGGCCGAATAGTTGCGGTCAGGCCGAATACGAATAGTAGTTACCTTACATCCCCTTCTGTATTCACGACCTTAATGCTGACAATATTGTTGAAAGCTAATGCAGCTTTCCTGAATTAACTAAGCTGTCAGTGACAATTTCCAAGTTTAGATACTTGTTATAATACTTAGGATTCTTTCAATCCTAGTTATTAGTTACCACAGGCTAACTGAAGGATGAAAAACATAAAATGTTTTTAAATGTTTACTATTCTGTACGAAACTAGACATGGAAAAATATAAACTCCGGCCACATCCAAGTCGACAATATGAAAATCAAAAGAACTGAAACATATAAGTACTTGGGTGCAAACCTGAACTGTTCCAGCATGCTGAGAGAAAAAATACAATCTAGAACAATCTAGAATACAATATATAAATAAAGTGTACAATACCCTTCAACATCAGCTAAAGTCAAAGTGTCTGTTTCGCTACACCATGATCAAAATATATAAAACATTGAAAAGACCAGTCGTGTTATTTGGCTCTGAAACTTGAAGCAGAAATAAAAGAGATGAGGCCTTATTACGGGTTTTTGAAAAGTTTTACGACAAATTTTTGGACCCATCAAAGATGCTAATAGCGGGGAATGGAGAGTGAGAAGCAACAACGTAACACATAACCTGTTTAAATCACCATTGATCACTGGCATCATGAGAGCTAACAGACTAAAATGGTTGGGGCATATTGAAAGCATGTCAGATGACAGAGAAGTAAAAACTATGTACACCTGAGAGAGGAATGGGCATGGACCACGAGGCAGACACACACAAAAAAGTTCGAGAGACAATGTCCAGTCAGACCTGCAAACAACTGGTGTCACAAATTGAGAAGATAAGGCCAGCCAGGGCGATGAATGGAGACGAGTGATATCTGCAGCAATAAACTTCAAGGGCTCAGAACGCTAAAGAAAATGATGACTATTTTGTGCTACTTTATGTGAAGGAAAGGTTCAGCGTACATTTGACATTATAAATGTGTGTGTGTGTGTTTTTTTATATTTTATACACTATGCACTATTCGTATTCGTATTCGGCCGAATAGCAGGTCCCGCTATTACTATTCGGTCGAATAGTGAAAATCACTATTCGGTACAGCCCTAGTTTATAGCTTATGTGATGTCCTGGTGGGGTAGAAAGTCAGTCAGTCAGTCAGTCTAAAGATAAAGGCATACCCCCGTATTTAAATTTATTGAGAAACAAAGAAAAGAAAAAGTTTGGCCATCTAATGAGAATGAAACCAGAGATACCAGTAACAGGGGCGTACAACCTGAAAATTATAACTTCAAGAGGCAGGGGAAGACCAAGAAGAAAATGGATTAAGGAGTCACTGACACCTTGAGACTGCATAACATCACAGCATATCAAGCGACTGAGATTAATATATATATATATATATATATATATATATATATATATATATATATATATATATATATATATATACATATATATATATACACTACCTTGTCAAGGTCTCATCTTCAAAAAAGTTCATTTCTCAACCAATGGCTGTGTGTACATTTCAGAAATGGGATAAAAGGCAAGTACAGAGTTAATGTTGGCGATCACAGCTTGGTGAGAAAAGACAAATATGAAATTCAACATCAAGTAGAAACAATGGTCTTCCATGGCGAGTATCGTCGTAAGTGCATTCTTTCAACGACAGTAAAAAAAGAATACCATGTTCTAGAGAAGGGGGAAAAAAAAGCTGCAGAAAAGTATTTAAAAATCAGTCAGCCACAGTGTCTATTGTTAACTAATGTCTCGTACTTATACGTGTACGAGACGCCCCTATGTATAAAACAATCACAATAAGGAATAAACCCATAGGCAGGAAATAAATATATTAAACACATTCCGTGTAAAAGACGACCCTGAAATTAAGTCACACATATGGGAAAACATTACGTATTGTACGCCGAAAAAAAAAGTCCTAATACAACAGATATAAATCTAGAGAGGGAGATGTTTGAAAACAATTCGTGCTAGAGACCTTTCCATCCAAACAAGTTACTTCTTGGAGCTGTAGTGCTAAGAATAAGAAAAAATAATTATAAAAACAGCTCACAAGTAAACCAAACGCTTCAAGGTTTGCCATGGCTGGGAATGAGGAGATGGGTGGCGGCATCTTATATTGTTATATTTGGCTAGACTGCCATATCTGCGACTTTCATCTCAAGACATCAAGCTTCACTAAACCCACAATTAGCCTGAATTAATGATATGGTTGTTATAAGGCAGTGGGAATGCTCCAATTCTTCTCAAAATGGTACATTTAAGCCCACAAGCAGAGGGCTTATGTCTATGCTCTGAAAGAAACGTACGATTTTCTGAGAATCAAGAGTGGTAAAGAAAACTGACAACTGATTCATCCATAGTGACACTCCAGCGAACCAGGTTCAATGTTTCAGAATGTGCTCATGGAACACGGGTGAGATAAGTAAACTGAAAGCTTAAATTGTCATTTATCTGGCTGTCGACTGACAAATCACTTTAGTCGCATCAGCTTCTACAACAGCACCGTGCGACATCCTAGAATAACAACATAGGTTTGAGGATTTTAACAACGAATCAACATCATGGCACACAGGTAGTAAAACCATAGGTTCTCCGTTCTAACTCATATCTGAGTCATAAGAAGCTTAGCAAAGTGAACAGGCTCTGTAGCACCGGCGAGGATCCCTAAATACTTTGTGTGTTTTTTTTTTAACTTAAAATTTTACCCGGTCAGCGCCCTTAGGCTACTCTTTTCGATGTCCAACTGCCAAGGGGCATTTTTTTTTATTCGCTCAATAAAGCACACGGTGGTCCGATCTCACTAACCATTGACCTGGGAAATTACTAGAAATCCAAGTCCACGTGAAAACATAACAACCCTTACCGGGGATTCAACCTGCAACCTCTAGCTAATGAGGCGGACACCGTGCCTCGAGACCACGCAGCCCCCACACCACCCAGCCTGTTTATAACTGACGTTTAGAAGTACAGCCGTCCAAATTATTATATTTGTATGTTTCAGTGGAATGTGTTTTCTTCGTGTTTGCTGGTGATGTTTCCTTCGCAGCTTGCAGATGTCACACTGTCAAAGGATCACTACGGAAATACTACAGTAAAAGCTGTCTCTAAAAATTTGGAAGACTTAAAAAAAAAAAAAAAGGGCATACTTATTTTATCAAGCTGGATCGTCTCTAGTGTTTTTTTTTTTCACTATCAACTGCCATACAATCAAGATGGGTGATAACATTTCAATTTAAAAAAAAAAAAAAACAATAACACGAAGAAGATTGATATTTACGAACAATCTGATTGCATTAGATAAAGGATTGGTGTAAAAAAAAAAGGCAACTGAAATGGTAATATAATTCTAATCCTGACAAAAAATGTTGTGTGTGAATGTGTGTGTGTGTGTGTGTGTGTGTGTGTGTGTGTGTATGTGTGTGTGTGTGTGTGTGTGTGTGTGTGTGTGTGCGTGTATTTGTAAAAAAAAATATGAAGGTACATTTAGAATATTATATGTTTTTGTTTAATATTGTTATACTTAGCAATAACAGTAATTCAGCAGGTGTAATGTTTACATAATACAGACAAAATTGTACCCTCCCCCCCCCCTTCCCCCCCCCTTTTTTCACACACACACACACACACACACACACACGCACGCGCACACACACAGTCTTTACTTGTAGCTATTGTTTTCCAGCCACAATCGTAGTTGTATCAAGAACATCGTATGATTGTGTTAGATAGTTAGTTAGTCGATACATTATCATCGTCGCACATCGAATCATCCAGTCCATAAGTGCTCAGATCCCATCTTCAGTATCTCCCTCAGCGTATAGTGGCTTGTGACCTCAGTTATGTGATGGTTTACTACTCTTCTTCAGGCCACAGTGTAGCGATCTTGTCTTTCTTAATCCCTTTTGATGTTATTTTCGTGTAGTTTAGTCAATGTTGCAGATTCACAACGTTACTTGGTTCGTTTTGCTTCGAGGTGATTCTCTGCGGACGTTTAGTATATCAGCCCTGTCCATTTATCTTCCTGTTACCACGTGAGCATCACTTGCAAGTCTGTCAGCTCGTTCATTGTCCTTTACACCAGAATACACCAGCTGCGACTCGCTGCAGCCCACGACCGGTGTTCGAAACCGGGCGGCTCCCGGTGTTCACGCAGCCTCTAGGAAATGGGTACCAGAGCTGACACTCTAGGTAAATGAAGAAACATCGCTGTAGCTACAGAGATACGTGCGAACGGCGACACAGGCGGACAATTCTTATCAGCTGTCCGTACTGGTGGCAGAGCTCTCATGGTTTATAACCGTGTGCAGTCACGATGGTTCACATCTCCCGACTTTACCTTCTACACGAGAATACCCCTGAAAAATTACGTTACTGATTTCGGTTAGCTTAGATCTATTCAGGGATTCCACCCAATGTCTACGTATGCAGCCCTTTTTAAACTTCGTGTGCATATTCATTGGTTAGTTAGTTAGTTGCGTATCCTTTACATGATGTTGCAGAACCAACCCCAACAGCCCCTGGCTGTTGTGACAGCCCCTGGCTGTTGTGTGGTTTTTCTACGCAAATTTACGTCCAGTAGTTTGCCATTGCTTTCTGGACGGTTGGCTTTCTTGATACCACTGTCGAAACCAACACAAGGCACATGGCCAGCAGCTGGAATCGAACCCGGCATCCCGGCATTACGAAGCGTTCGCATTTACTTAGCCGCATAGCCAGCCATATTAATTGAGTCGGTTAGAAATCATCCCCGGGTGAAAGTCCGTGTTTCTAGCCAGGCTTTTTCTTTTGTAGCTGCCTGGACTTTCACCGCCAAACGGTCTTCTTTTTTTTTTTAAATTTTGACTCTGACCTGTGCATTTAAAGCCAAAGAGCTGCTGCATTTATAAAGACTGAACCGTCTGTGTAAATGATAACATCACCCACAGAAAAATTCTCACATATCAAGGCCTACACTTCCGTTTCCACAACTACTGGATTTTGTTGTCTGCATTCTCTGTTCCGCTTGATGCATACTTAAAAGAACGTATGACACTCTGGTAGTACAGTAATCATTCTTCCCCAAATTTATGTCCTCAAATGGACAAATCTCATGATTAATATCCTCGGCTTGAGCCATCCATGATTTTCCTCTATTCAATCCTAAAACTTTTCTTTTCCTCATTTCACTGCGCTGTGTGTTGTGTTAGAGTATCCCTACTGTAATTTTATCAGTGCATCTTAACAATACATTAATTTTCTGAACTACTGTGGTATTCAACAGAAGAACGCTTTGATAATGATATTGGGTTGATCAAAATAAAACCTGACAGATATGGTAAGGGGATTCAATTCAACCGTTTTGTGCAGCCCTTTTGTCTGGCGACTGTTACAGAAAACCCATACGAGTTTGAACGTATGACAGTAATAGGATGGGGAAAAGCAGGAGAAAGTGGTAAGTTCTCAGTTGTTTAGTTTTCATAGGTTGAGAACAATAATTATGTTGAGCTGTTTGTTAATGTCTTGCGATATTTCACTATTATTGTAAGTGCACAAGAACAGGAAGGCTTACACTACACAACACTCTAAGCGTACACTTCAGACACCTATTGAACTGTTCTAAAAACATCAACCAATAAAACAACTGAATAAACGGTGTTGATAGACATATTTATGAAAGCTATAGAATCAGGACTGAAAGGACAGAGCAGAAGGTGATGATATTAAAGACAAAGAAAGGGAAGAAGAAGAAAGAGAAGAGGAAAAAGAAGATTAAGAAAGAGAAGAAGAAGAAGAAGAAGAAGAAGAAGAAGAAGAAGAAGAAGAAGAAGAAGAAGAAGAAGAAGAAGAAGAAGAAGAAGAAGAAGAAGAAGAAGAAGAAGAAGAAGAAGAATCCTGTTGAAAATCACCTCTTTATTAATAATAAAAACATACATCCATACATATATCAACACACATACATACACAAACAGAAAAGACACACACCTACGTGCATAGACATACATGCACAAACACATATATGCATACATACACATACATGCATACATACACACATCCATACATACACTCACATACTTACACACACATAACATATATACACACACGTGCATGCATACAGACATATACAATCACAAATACAGACACCAACATACATATGCCTGCATATATACGTACATACTACATACTTGCGTACATAATACACACACTCACAAAAATCACACATACACACATATACAATCACACATAAACCCACACATAAACACACATATTCTTATAACATACCTACATAAAAATACTCACATATTTGCAAACCTAAGAATTCATACATATATATATACATACACACACATGCAACAACAATCACATACCCACATATTACACACATAGATACACATATAATACATATAAGAGAAGAAGAACCAGAGGAAGAAGAAGAAGAAGAAGAAGAAGAAGAAGAAGAAGAAGAAAAAAAACAAGGAGAAGAAGAAGAAGAAGAAGAAGAAGAAGAAGAAGAAGAAGAAGAGAAGAAGAAGAAGAAGAAGAAGAAGAAGAGAAGAAGAAGAAGAAAGAAGAAGAAGAAGAAGAAGAAAGAAGAGAAGAAGAGAAGAAGAAGAAGAGAGAGAAGAAGAAGAAGAAGAAGAAGAAGAA